GTAGTGACTACATTGTAAGTCTTTCAGCCATTAACATCACAGCTAAACTGACCAGTCACTTTCAACAGACCAGACTTATAACAGCATTGACTGACTAACACTATTCACTTGACTCTAAAGATGACTTCCACTCAGGTTGTTGAAACATCAGTCACCAACAACACTTCTTTTCAGAAGTACTGTAGAAATACCCTCATCTGGACTATCACACTGAAAAATATTAACTTCACTACTGCCACAAAATACAGTAGTAGGTGTCTTGCAAGAACTCATGAACATGAGGTTGCATACAAGTTAGAGGGGATAAGGTTAAAATTAAATTCAGTTCTGTCTACAGTCTGCTGGCTCCGCTACCTATTAGGGAGTTTAAGAAAACCGTTACAGCAACGGCAACAGCAATCTTGCTAAACAAAAGGTTTACTGAGGAGAACAATGGCTGTGCACATGCATTATGATTTTTGGTACATTTCTTTGCTGTCCTATGCAAAACAACAACATGAAATGACCAAATTCTGCATTGTCTGGAGAACATGAACCACGACAGCTAATTTTTTAAGTGTTTATTTCATATTTAACAATAGGTCCTAGATTCAGTTTTGCAATAGCTTTGACAGTGATAAAATAAAGTAAATGACTTTAGGGTACCACGAGATTCGTAGGTAACATATAAAATCATATTTTAATTGATGTCGTCCTTGGCGTTGCTGTCGTGGTTTCTTAAGCTCCCTATTCTTCTAGTTAACGTGCAACCCATCAGTCCCATGTGGGCTGGGAAGAGAGTAGTCTGTCTGCATGATTTTTTTCTTAGTACTAACTATTGGTGAACTTGGTTACATATAAAGGCCTGCAAAATCATGTGATGTCCATCCATAGCATGGCCACAGCCATTTTTACTTGCATGAGGCAGTTACAATTTATATTTTTGCTCAGAAAAATAGAAGATGAAATTCTGCTGAAGAAATTGGTGCGAAGGATGTCACAAATCAAGCAGTGGGTTAAAAAAGTGCTTTCCTTACAGAGCTGTTAATAATTACTGAAATGCATCAATCTGATGACAACTACTTTACCAGATACGTGAACAAGAACCAGTATGTGCACTACTGTAAGAAATTTCCAAGATAAATGAATGACTTAATATTATAATTAATACTCTCACCTCCTCTGTCAATGCCAAGGATTCAGAGTTCTCAATTGTTGCAGACCGCTGATCATTGTTCAGTGATTCAATGTTACCTTCCAGTTCCTGCAAAAACAAAATGCAGTTCTCAGAACTAGTTCAAAGAAAGATACTTACATCATACATGTCCTACCCAGCAAATAAAGTGCTGTCTTTTGCCAGAAAATTGCCAGTTATATTGAATTGACTAATAACAGCATAATTTGATCAACACACCACCAACAAGTGGAAATTTCAC